CTGTCAGAACTGCTCTATTTTCTGCTGTGAGAAACAGAGATCAGTCCTTCACAAGTTATCTTTTGTACATTACTCCAGTTGTTACCATGTCTTCTGGCATCTCATCCACATGCTTTGAGATGTCCAGTGTCTTTTCTTATGGAAACAGCTTCACATCTTTGATTATTTTATTGCCTTTATCTACATGATCTGCTCTCTGAACTACTGAAAATCTGTTTTCAAACCAAGGAATACCTGAATTTAATGCAACGTTAGAGATGTGAGCTCATCAGAGATTTTATTTAGTGGTTTATCAATGCCATTCCACCATGCTGTTTGTCTGTTTTTGCCCTAATAATTTCTGATGTTTGCCATCAAGGAGCTTCCCACTGTGCCTCCAAGGTGTTTTTTTAACATTTGATTATAGCCAGTTTAGAGAATAACTTTGTGTTCATAGCTAAGGGCCATCTGCAGCACTTTGAAATTATCACACCAAATTCAACCTTCATTTTATCATCTGCTAATTTAGAAATGTGAGAACCTTCTGTATGTCCTCACATTTATCTGTAGGTTGGGCTGCCCTCAATAACTGTTTATCATCTACAAATGTTATCAGCTTATTATTAACTCCCTTTCCACATCACCCAGTAATACACTGCACAACATTTGCCCCATTCTGATATCTTCAGGACATCTTCTCTGAAATTTCAGTAACCATCCTCCTTCAAGAAAAAACAATTTTTTCTTACTTTTGTTACTTATCTTTAAAGCAGGAACTAATCTGTAAGATGATTTATCCTCTTCTCAGAATCTAGCCTGGATTCTTTCAGAACATTTGCCAAATCTACCCATTACTCCAGGTGGATTCTCATGAGATCAGAATAGAGGGGGGCAGGATCACCTCCTTTGACCTCCTGGTCACACTTCTTTTGGCACATGTCAGCACACAGTTGGCTTTCTGGGCTGCAAGTGCACACTGCTGGGTGGTGTTGAGCTTCTCACCAAATCAACACCCCCAAGTCCTTCTCCTCAGGGCTGTTCTCAATCCATTCTCTACCCAGCCTGTATTTGTGCTTGGGATTGCCCTGACCCAGCTGCACGACCTTGCACTTGGCCTTGTTTGACTTTATGAGGTTTGCATTGGCCAGCTCTCCAGCATGTCTGGGTCCCTCTGTATGGCATTCCTTCCCTCCAGCATGCTGACTGCATGCCACACAGTTTGGTATCATTGGCCAGCTTGCTGAGGGAGCATCAATCCCACTGTCCATGTCACCAACAAAGATGTTGTTCGTATAGCATATTAACACTGGTCCTAATACCAACCATGAGGAATACCACTCACACTAGTCTCCACTTGGACATCGAGCCATTGGCCACAACTCATTATCATCAAGCCTGCTCTTAGAATCATAGATTCATAGAATGGTTTGGGTTGCAAGGTACTTTAAAGACTGCAACCATCCAGCCAATTCCTTATCCACTAAGGGGTCCATCTGTGAAATCCCCATCTCCCCAGTTCAGAGACAAGGATGCTATGTGGGACAGTGTCAAATGCCTTGCATAAGTCAAGATATGTGCCATCAGTCATTCCAATCTTCCCTTATCCACCAGTGCCATGGCCCCATCATAGGAGTCCATAAAATTTGTCAGGCACGCTATGCCCTTAGTGAAGCCATGTTGGCTGTCACCAGTCACCCCCTTATTGCTCATGTGCCTTAGCATATAATCCAGAAGAATCTGCTCCATGATCCTGCCAGGCACCAAAGTGAGACTGACTGTCCTTCAGTTCCCTAGGTATTACATTTTCCCCCCAACAGATAACAGGATGATTGAAGTTCCCCCCTGAGCATCAGGGCTGCACCTAGCTGTCTATAGAGAGCCTCATCTACTCAATCCTTCTGGTCAAGTGGCCTGTTGCTGACCCCCATTGTAATGTCCCCCACCCCTGCCCTCCCTTTGACGCATAAGCTTTCAGTTGGCTCCTCATCCATCCCCAGGTGGAGCTCTGCACGCTCCAGCTGGTCACTGGTACGGCAGGTTACACCCTCTACGATCCCTTCATCACCTTATCTTTTTACGATACCCTTTACAATACACCCTCTATGATACCTTCATGCATTTTAGCCTCCAGCTGCTCCTTTCACTTCCGTTTTTCTGCTTGACTACCCTAAAGCTTACAGTTCTCTCCTTTGTTTCTGGAAAGCACTGCGGTGGATTTTCTGTATCGTACCTCTTTGGTAAACCAGCATTTGCTTTCCTTCTTGGGAAGATCAGAAGTGGCAACATCACACTTTCTGTTTGTACTCAGCCCCTGAAAGTTATGGCAAATGCAGTGCAAAATCTTGCTGTTGAAGACTTTAAAACATAATATATATTAATGGTGAAGATATCTGTATCTAATTATATACAAACCTGGGAACAGAATAAAAATATAAAGAACAAGCCTAAATACCCACAGTCCAAATGCACCATCAGAGATCTCACCCACAGGGCACAATGACACCAGAAAATCAGCAGAGAAAAAAATCTGCATTAGTTTTAAGAAAATATTAATGTTGAGAGTTACCCTTTAGCCTTTAGAAACAAAAACTAGAAAAGCTTTCTTTTTAAAAAAGGTAGAGAAATGAATCACATTTAAGTTCTTGAGCCCCAGCTCTACTTTTCCTGAAGCATCCTAATAAAAAAAAATAATCACTCTGTCATGCATTTCCCTCCTTATTTTCTCTTATATGCTATCTCCTGTGACTGGGAAAACATTAATTACCTCTCAACTGTATTAATATGCTATGGTATCACAGCTAAAAATATACAGATTTACTAATTTTTGAGCAAAACTGGGTTTGTAAATAAGATAACTCCTTGAAGAGTTATGCAATCAAAGTGTGAAGTTTGTGCCATTGACTTCAAAGGGCAGCACAAAGAATTCTCTACAGACAGTAGTTTTGCACAGAAAGGCGCGCAGTAAAAACGAAAACAAGTATCTTCTTATGTTACGGGTTTCTACCTTTCTTTTCTGTTTCTTTTCAATGAAACAAAGAGACATGGCTCGAACATTTGAGTTCACAGGAGTACTAGCACTGTCAAGTCCACATAGCTGAGGAACAGTGATTTCATTAATTTTCCTCATCAGCTGAATTGAGCTTGGCAAGTTTGTATCTATTGGTTGTCAGAGAAGTGCCTTGATTCCCAGATTTTAAGCAGAGATTTCAGTATTGGCTTTGAAAGAGGAAAGGCAAAGTTTTGTGAGGAGGGGTGCTTGATATGTAATCGATTGAATAAAATCAGGAATGATATGAAATCATTCCTCCAGAGCCTTTCTACAGAATACTGCTTGGCTTAAATTGGTTTTGGTCAGGATTTAAACATGTAGAATCAAAAGCTCAGCTGGTACAAAACTGTACCAGCTCCAGAAGCAGTCTTACAGATCAAGCAATAAAGTAGAAAAATGGGAAACCTAAAGACAGTTTTATTTGTTTATAGTTTTGTCAGTTTTAGGGAGATGTTCCTGCTGGAGGCCACACAGAGCTCACCCTGGGGATGGCACTTTGGTAATGATGGAAAGTTCAGCAAGATAGAACTTGAAAAAAGGGAAAGTATAAAATGCAAACTCAGCAGGATGTGTAGCCAACAGCCTCCTCTCCTCAGAAAATAAAATCTCAACTTAATGGGGGGGAAAGGGAGGAGGGAGAAATATCAGAGAGCAGGTATTCTTTGGGCAGACTGTGCCCTTTGCAAATATTAACATGCTCCTAATATGTCAAAAAGTGTTCATCGAGATAAAACAAACAGCTGAGTCAGTCACAAGAACTGATACTCAGGCAAGACTCAGCCTACAAAGATGACATAAAAAGTTGACTCAGTGCATATTTAAAAAAAAAATAATCTTTTATTTTCCCGATTGCTTACCTGCTTTGAAACAAATTTTGGGTATTCTTTCAACAATGCTCTGAAAGAAGGTGAACAAACTTGTGGCCTCTAAAACATAAAAGACCATAATTGTAACAGAAATAATGGATAATCTAATGGGAGCTATGACTGAAGTTCCCTGATTTTTTTTGAGACTGCCCTTTAACAGTTGTTTTTGGAAAGCAGCATTTTACAGATTTTTTAATCAACCCTTCTGCAATACGTATTCAAGTGTCAATTACACTAGATCTGCATGGACGGACCCAGAGACAAGTATCATTTTATTATAGTAATTAAGGATGGAAGTAATATATTGTTGTGAATTAGTTCCCTTTGAAACTTTCACCTATGAAAGGAGAAAACCATCATGGTTTTGAAGACAGCAGAGCTTTAAAAGTATCAATTTCATAACAAAGGCCAAGTTTAACTACATGGGCTTTACATTTTCCTAAGCATTTATCTGTAAAAACATAAAAAATATTTCCTAACACACAATAGGATATGCCCAGTCTGTATGTTCACTTATGCAGCTTTTTACAAAAGACAGCATATAAAGATATATAATATAAAGCTACTTTTAATTACAAACCAATACATAGATTAAAAAGACTAATTTAATTAACCCTTTGTTTTTAAGCACCACTAGTCGCACTCTATAGTTTGAACAGTACACTAGGTTTTCTCTTGCCTTCTTGTTGTCCTCCCCATGCTGGGAACACCTGCCTGAGGCTCATGAGAGGCAGCAAGTGGGTGTAAGATGAAAACTCACTGTATTTCCCCACTTACCTCTCTTCTAAGTCTGTAATGCAGCTCCTTCATGTTGGCTCCTCCACCGTGCTGTCGAAATGCCCTCCAGGGTCTTACCCAAACATCAGTCCCATAACACCTGGAGCCAGGACACTTTGCTCTCCCCACAGTGTCTTTTTCCTATCATTGCAAGCAACCCCCAAAATGGGCTACTGTTCACCTGGCACCCTCCTTGCACCTTCAAGACCTTCTGATCCTGGACTTCTCACAATCCACTTTGTCATTGCCCCTCTCTTCTACCTTACAAACACTGATCAAACCAAGTGTGCTTGGGCACAGGACAAGCTTCTGATCAATAAATTAGTCTGTTTTACATGGTTCAAATTTGAGCTTTTATTTGGTTTTTAAATTAAAAAAATAAATTTCATTATTAAATAGTGGAATGGGTCTAAACTAATGTTTACACATTAATTCACTTGCTTTAGGGTACCACCAGAGAAATAGTTAAAGTATACCACCCAGACAAAACTTTCTGTTAGAAAGCTCAACAGTGGCATAATTCAGTTAAACAGGAAAAAAAACCCCGAAAGTCTTAATGTTTACAATGAACGTCAGAAGTAAACCTCTGGTTTGAGTGACATCCAAATCTAGTTTCCATCACAAAGGTAGTCATTGTATTCAGAATACTATACCACAGTGCTAATGTCATCAGCTTCATCTGGTTTCTTTTGCCTGCTTGGCAGGGATTTCAAGTACTCAAGGTGCCTCCTTGCATCCTCCTGGTTTTGCCGGACGTAATAAACCACGTACGAGATCACCATGGTGAACCAGCCAAACATGGTGACCAGCATGGCATAATCAGTAGTCTTTTTAGGAAGGTTGCAGAGGTCTGCGTCATTGGCAGCATTGAGGAACGGTCTCCCCGCGTGTTCATCCAGCACAGAAGTCTTGCAGATGACGTTGTTGGCCGTCTCGTGGTTGGAGGCCATGCTTCTCAACACCTGCTGCAGCGTGCAGTCACAATGCCAGGGGTTGTTTGCAATTCTGGCTCTGGCCTTTAAGTTGTTGAAAGCATTTTTGTGCACGCTCTGAATCCGGTTGTCGGACAAATCCAGAGTCTGCAAGGTTTCTGCCACCCCTTTAAAGGCGTGCTCATCTATAAACTCAATCCCGTTTTTTGATAAATTAAGGACTCTCAGTTGGTGCAAGTCCTTAAAAATTTCGTTGGGGATAGATGTTATCTGATTGGAGTCCAAATAAAGTAAGACTGTTTCTGGAGGAAGATCTCTGGGTATCTCCTTGAGATTTGCATTGCTACAGCTGACATTCAGACCTCCAGAGTGAGAACAGAGGCAGCCTTTTGGGCACATACTGGCAGAATGAAAGCACAGTATCATGAGGACAAAACTTTGTAAGAGCAGACACATGGAGAGGGAACGAGTTAACCACAGGTCTACCAAATGCATGCTGGGCTGTCAGCATAATCACACGACCATTTTTCATTCAGCCGACAGTGGTGAGAAAAGGATCGGCAAAGCTGAAACGTGGCTTCATTTCCTTCAGTGTGATTAGTGGACCATCACGTGGGCTTCCTCATGGTCAATACTCCTTTTAGAAGCACCTACAGAAAGGAAGGAAAAAAAATTCCTTATACCATAAACTCCAATCTCAATTTTGTATTCATTAAAAAAATAGAAATAAAATGAAGGTGAAGCGAAATGCAACACTGAATAAATGATCTATCGCCCTATCAGTGTACCACAGGATTTATGTAGGTAACTCTGATTAGCATTAATCTTGAGTTTAGTGCACAAATCCCAAGGACATTTTTAAGATAATAGACTACATTTGTTACAAATTGCACAGGTTTGGGCTTAAATACTTATTAAAGGAGGCACTGGCTTGCTTTTGTTACAGATGTTTCTAAAACAGCTATAAATCTAAATTACATTTTCCCTTGCTAAAATAGAAGATGTATTAACAGGAGCTTAGAGCTGGATCTCCAGCAACAGTGACAAGTAAGCAAGGAATTTGTGGTGGCTAATGTGAACTTAGCTCAAAATAATTTACACTATTTTAAGTCCAAATCAAAGTACTTCAGCAAGGAAACGTTTTTACTATACCAAGAAACAAAAAAAAAAAAAAAAACCCAAGTAAATCAAATGCTGTTGCAAGACACCACAAACATCCATCGTCTTGTTTGTCTCCCCATCCTGCCCTTCTGCTTTTGAACCCCAGATTTCCTGTAACTCCCAGCATTTTGTGAGACCCGCAGAAATAATGTCTACTTCCGGTTTTCTTGAAAATTTTCGTTTATCACAGAGAAAAAGAAAGAAATGTAACAATTGCTAAAACCTCACACACTCACCTCCAAACCAAATAGAACCCACACAAACCTATGTACAAGCCTAACAAAAACCATCTTATTCATGGCATGCAATTTGCTAAAAGAACACATGAAAAATAGGTTCTGCTTCTCAAGTTGGTTTAAAAATAGCGGATATCCAGAAGCTTTTCCATTTTCTCCTTTAATTGAAGTACAAATACAGAAGTCTGAAATGCTGACCTATAAGGTTTCAAAGACAACCTCATCTATTTTTTCCCCTCTTATGGTACAATATGAATTTCTAACCACAACAGGTCCATTCGCTTTCATGTACATGCCCTCTGTCTTTGTAGCAGCTTGGATATTTGCAGCCTTATTTGCATGCTCTTACTGCAGCTACTGCAAGTAACAGTGTATCAGCACTACTCTTCAACTTATTTATTGATCGAAAGAGAGATTGCCCAAGAACCTAGACAGAAAGTTTACACTTGGAGTCCATAAAACTTCTACTCTTCAATTAAAAATAAAGGAATTTGTCAGCAATGAGAAATTGTGGAGTTAAGCCTGCAAATGTGAAACCATTAAGAAGGGCTGTAAGCAGAGCACAAAAAGCTCCCATTGAGGATAGAGTCGAGAGGTAGTACCTCCACAATCAATGGAGTTCTGCAGGACCTCTGTTTACATGAAAGCCTGCTGCACTGGGTGCATCTTCGCCATTTCTCCCTGTGGCTCTTTGGTCACTGGTCTTTAGATCAGACAGAAATCTGCTACAGGAGACAAGCTCCAGAAGCTGCTTTTTCCCAGCCTGCCCCATGAAGAATGCCTGTCCCATGGAAAAACACTTATTTTCCTTTCCCTTCATGTTTATGTGTCTCACTGTGCTGCACCAAAAGTATATGAGCAGTCAGCTCATCACCACAGAATAAGCATCATCTCATCACCTAATACACTGTATACAGTGCCTTCCTGCCAGGGATACTGCAGTCCTGCTGCAGGAAGAGACCAAGGTGAAAGAGCAAAACCTGAAGGAGTTTCAAATGCTTAATTTTGTAGAAGCATGTGACCATTAAACGTCATACTTCCTTCAGTACAGGCCGAAAAAACCCTGCCAACCTGGAATTACACCATGGATCCTGCCAAGTCCTCCATAATGCTGCTAAACCACCAAAGATCATGTGTCAACACCAAAGACAATATGGAACATCTTCATCCCCCTGAAGACAAATGAAGCTTTTTTCTTTAGTGTATTAATGTGCTTAGAGTGGAACAATTAGGGTCGTTACAGACTAAGCAGGAAAGTGCTTAATGAAGCAATTCCTCTTCAAAAGAGATAGCTAAGTAAATAGATAAATGGAGAAAAACTCCCACTGTTTTGTTAGAAAGAGCAAATACAAGTTAAAACACTTAATTAAAAACCCAGTCAACAAAAATTAGCTTAGCAAGAACAAAGCTCAGCAAATTCTCAGTAATTTAACCGTAAGCAACCCAAAGGGACTGACCATCAGTCAGGGGAAACAGAACTTTGTTTACTTCCATGATCAGAATATCTTATCCAAGGGATAGCTGAGGTTTCGGCTTCACCAACAAACTTACACCAAGGACTTTCTTGACTCACAGGTATCCTAGTGACTGCAACAAGAGAAAATAGAACTAGGATCCTCACATCTGCAACGCTAAAAGGAAGATTTTTGGCTTCTTGAGGAGCTAATTTTTGCTTGTAACAAAAATAAAGAAGGTAACAAAGTTAGACTAAAGACAAGAGGTATATACCAGACAGAAACATTAAGACTAGAGAGAAAGGGATGGAAGATGCAGAATGAAAATAAATATAGGAATTAGAAATCTACAAATCAAGAAAAAAAAAAGAAAAGTAGTAAATGAAAGCACACAGAAATGACAGCAATATTTCAAGCACAGGTAACAGCATAGGATAAAAAGGCTTTTTGTGTACTTTTCTAAAACACATACAAACATAGAAAACCTAACACAGAATTCAAATATTGCAGGGCAATAAAACTATAGAGGGATGATCACACAAAAGAATTCTTCATAGTTTTGCAATTTAAACAGGTTTTCAAGCTTTCCTAGACCATTCATATACAACAGCATAGGAAAACATACAAATCCTGAAATCCTCAAGGAAAGTACATTTGCTTTTAATGCACAGTGAGATTTCGACTGAGCTTCAGATGACTTGCAGATGACTGCCTTTCAAGCAAGGTGCAGAGACTGTATCTTAGCATCTGAATGAAATACCACTAAATTGTGCATTTGACTAATAACCCCTCCTCACAAGAAATGAGTGATGTAAAGAAGCATTAGTCCTTCCCACTTCCCACTTGGAAAAAAAGGCCTCAGACATTTTCAAGTGGAGTCCCAAAGACTTCTGTTGAGGAGAGATCAATAATATCTTTCCTGATGCATATTCACGGCATTTGAGCAACTACATCATGCTTCTGTTGTGTGCAAAGACTGTACGGCACACACATCGCGCTGTGAAGGAAATTCAGTGACAGCAACTCCATTTCTGTATTAATAACGTACTAGAAAGTCTGTTCTTGTCTTCAAAGCTGGATCTCCCGAGGAAAAAGACTGCACTCATCACCCCAGCAATGTCAAAGGGGTGACAGCTAACTAGAGATGCTCAGCACCTGTACACACAGCTTGTATTTGGCGTTACATGATTAGAGAGGAATTTCTTGTTCCTGTAGTTTCTGTGCTCAAACGAGCAAGCAGGAACGGAAAGAGGCAAAAGGAAGAAGCCAACAGACAACCACAGGGGGTGGCCTGTTGGTTGCATCGTGATTGCGCTCAATCTGTCTGGTCTGTCACTTTTCAACCACCAGAAAAACTAATTTTAGGCACGGTACCTGGAGAAACCCCCATTGGAAAACAGATCCTAAACGGCACTGCAGAGCTCCACACTCCTTGGGATCACATAGTCGTCCACAAATGACACTGTTTTTTCAGAAACACCAAAGGCATCCTGTGAGTAACTGCTGGCCCTCCATAGTGGAGATGAACTGCACATGTCAAGGTGCCTCCTGTCCTCACATACAGCCCACAGACTCACATATAAACCTGCCAACTGTTCATATTTATATGTGCAGCTCTACACCTTCAAATGAAACTCTCAGCTCCCCCAAAACCTTCAAGAGATCCCTAGAAAACCAGCTTGATTTTTCAAGCCAAGTTTAAGTAAGCTCCTACCCTTCTGAGTAACAACCCTGCATGCCAGCGTCAGAAGTTTGATACAGAATTAGAAAAGCCCAGGAAATACTCTGTAGGGCTCTTTTTTCAGACATCCTTTAGAGCAAACTTGCACTTTGAATAAATATTAAACTTTTATAACTAAAAATCCATTAAAAGAGTACATTGTAAAAGGATCGTTATTTTATCTGACTTCCAGAAAATTACTGAGATGTTTTATAGTTTTTGAAGACCTGACATTATTACAATCTTTTTTTTTCTCCTCTTTACGACATTGACTATGTTGGTATGTAGCAAAGATGCTCACTGATAAATCTAGTCTCCTATTCTCTATTAAAATAGATCTTTACCATATTGACTAATTTTGTTTTGAATCAGGTTTAGCAAATTACCCAGTGAAACAGAAAACACTTGTCTTTTTAATGGATTGTTTTCCTTGAGCTCTTCTTCCTGTAATGCCGATCTGTTTGTTACAGCATATATAGATCTGCCTTGCTCTCCATACTCAGAGAGACCTATATTAGAGACCTATATATTTTCTCTTTGTACTCTTTTCCCCCTGCCCTGTTGTCACAAAATGCCATATACTAGTTTATCTCTAAAAATATTACCTTTTATGTAGTACTGACAAGACAGCCATGAGCTGGAGACTAAAGGCTTAAATACTCAGGTGATTAGCCCAGCTGGAAAATCCAGTTTGCTAGAAGACTGAGGACAGGACAGTTTCACCTGAACCAAAGAAAGAGATTTGCCACCACTACTCCCAAATAACTGCAGATAGCATACTTATGAAGTACCAAAACAGAGAAGATATCCATGGGAAGAACTACTTCTATACATCCTACCCTTAATCAATCTTACACTACTGGTTAGTACAGACCTTCCACTAAGCTACACCTTGTATTGCCCTGTGCATCTGTTTGAAAGCAGCTGAGCCTCTGGAGGCCAACAGACTGCACACACTGGGGGAAAAACCTCCATGAAATCCTGCCTGCCTCTTCCAACACCTGTGGGCTGAATCTAATCATAACTGTTTAAAAACACAAGAAGATAGATGTAAAAATGCAGAGCCTCCTTCTTCTACATCTTACTGTAAATCTGTTCCAGGATTTAGATGATGGCTCAAAAGTGACAAAGTCAAAATAACAGTAATTATTAAAAAAGAAAAGAAAAGAAAAGAAAAGAAAAGAAAAGAAAAGAAAAGAAAA